TCCTCAGGTTCATGGTAAGAGTCTTATACAGGCAGGCCCTGGGCTCAGAAGTGAAGGTGTGAGGGAACCAGCAGTTAGCGTAATGGCTATGTCGCTGGACTCCCACATAGTCGACTGCGGTTCGCATCCTGGACCCGGTAGCTTAAAACTCACGCCGGGCACGTGTGCGTGCGTGCCCAAGATCCCGAGAGGAGAATGGAGGAGAAGGGATCACGGCGTGACCATCCCCCCTCGGGGGTGATTTCTCACTTTCTGTCTCTATGTCTCTCTCTGTCTGGTGAGCGCATGTGCCCTATAGCGAAAACCTCTCAAAAAAAGAAAAAGAAGTGAAGGTGTGAGAGGCCGGGCTGTGGGGTCGAGTCAGAGTCTGGAGGTGAGGATGAGCATGGTGTTTGCAGGGTCTGAGAAGCAAGAGGCTGAGGGATTGCCGATTACAGTATGACGTATCATGAGAGACAAGGCAGAGATGTCTGTGGGGCCTATTCATCTTCGAGGTACACCGTGTGCCTTATCCTGGGCCACAGGGAGCCATAGAAGGTCTTTAAGCAAAGGGCAGAGACAGATTTGCATTTTAGGAAAATCCTTTGCGCCATGCTGAGGTTCTGGATTGCAACCGGCAGCCCAGGGAACGGGACAGGGGTAGCCCTGGTCGTGGGGAAGATGGAGAACGACAGAGGAGGGAGACGTCCAGAACAGGCCTAGGTCTCTGACTGGGGAGCTAGGAGACATGGATATCACTCTGAGATGGGGACAGGAGGAATGAGGAGGCTGGTTTCAGGGAAGACACTGAGGCCAGTTTGGAGTAATTTGAGTGTGGGACCTGCATCCACCCATGGGAGTGATCCAGAAGGCCATGAGAAGCCCGAGTCAGGACTGGAGATGGAGACTGGGGTTGTCAGGGCATCAGCAGGAGCTGAAGGCCCAGGATAGGGAGGATGTCTGGGTAAGAGGAAGGGCTGGGAAGGGGCCCCACAGTTCCCAGAACTTCAGGAACATGCACCCTTTGGGCCAGTGGGTAGGCTAGCCTGGGAAGTAGGATTTGGGCGCCTGGTGGCATTGGTGAAATGGAATCCCCTGTGACTTCAACTGAGTTAGCTGGGCTGAAAGAGGTAAGTAATGGTACCTGCCCCCACCAGGTTGCCATGGGAATTGTGTGCCCGGCACACAACATGGGCAGGCCCCCGGGCTGGGGGGGGTAGGGGCTACTCCTATCCACCCACCATCCTCCCCCGAAACTTGACCTGCCTGGAAAGATGGGGGTTCAGGACCTCACCCCAACTCTGACTCCCAACCCTCCACTTGCATGCAGAACGTGTGCGTGAGGAGCTGACCCGGGAGCTGGGGCCTGGCCAGGCGCCAGGCCTAGGGGACCGCCCCCGCCTCCCTTACACAGACGCGGTTCTGCATGAGGCACAGCGGCTGCTGGCGCTGGTGCCCATGGGAGTGCCTCGCGCCCTCACGAAGACCACCTGCTTCCGAGGGTACACTCTGCCGCAGGTGGGTAGGCAGAGCCCCCGCAGCTCAGCGGGTCTCTGCCCCAGGGGCCCCTGGGAGGGGCAGAGATGACCCCTTGCTGCGACATCTTGCTCTTTCCTGATCTTGCCCCTCTCCCAGGCCCGCCCCAAGCCGCCCGCATCTTCTCTTCTCTCTCTGCAGCTGGGACTCTATTTCATCCTGTATGCCCTTACCTTTGACTCTGCCTGTGGGCCTCAGCTTCCCCATCTGTTCAACAGATATCTTTTTGTTTGTTTTAGTTTCACTACGGGGCCCCCGTGGGCTTGTGGAGGAGAGGAAAAGGGAGAAGAAGAGAAAGCGAAAGTGAGAAATCACCCCCCCTCCGTGGCCTCCCTTCTTCCTTTTCCACTCAGAATTTTGGGCATGCCACTTCTACGCCACCTGCTGGCCCAAATAGATACCTTAGTTCTACCTCCTTCCAAGGTGGTTGGGACAGTCAGGGGAGGTGCACAGGGAAACCATTCAACTGAGGACTTATTTAGTCCAGGGCTCATAGGTCCCCCTTGCCCAAAGCCCCTGCTGCAGACACACCGGCCCTCTGCCTCCCTCCGTCTCCCTCGTGTTCTCTCTCTCTTGCTCTCTCTCTCTCTCTCTCTCTCACACACACACACACACACACACACACACACTCACACACACTGTGCCTCTTCATTAATTGGAGAGCAACTCAAACACAGAACCACCAGGGGGCGACATCTTCCCAGAAACCTGAGGCTGCCTAGTTCCCTCTTAGCTTAATCAGAGAATCAAACCCAGGTGCTTAGCCAGTCCTGCAGTTTTCTAGCTGTGACCTTGGGCAACTCACTTCACTCCCTGAGCCTCTCCTTAAATGGTTCATAGTAGTATCAACATGGAGTTGTAAGGAATCTACAAGATAATGCTTATAAAACAACAGTTCAGAGCCAGCCCATGGTGTGGTGGTGAAGGCAGCTGGATCCCACATAGCCTCTGGCACGGTTTGAGTCCCAAACCTGGAACCTTGAAAGATATGCCAGCACATGTACCCAAAATCCTGAAAGGAAGGAAAGATGGAGGAGAAGGGGTTGCCCTGGAACAATCCCCCAGGGGGCTTGCTTTCTCCTCCTCTCTCTCTCTCTCTCTCTGTCTCTATCTCTCTGTCTTCGGTGAACGCATATACCACCTGGAAAAACAAAACATAAACACAATTCAGTTCTTGGGGTGGAGGAACATGTGTGCACTGCACATCAATGACTATTACAACCACAACAACTACCAATATGGCGGCAAAAATAACAGATAACAATTCTGAGGGCCGAGGGTTGAAAGGGAAATGTCACTTTTCAACTCTAAGACCTTTTATATGACTTAAAGTTTTAATAATATAATAAGACATTATATATGTGATGTTTATTTTATTATCATTATTTTTCAATTTGACCAGAGAGAGACAGACTGAAAGAGAGAGGGTGGAGAGAGAGTGAGAGAAAGCAAGCCTTCCAGGTCCGGAACTCATATCATGGTCGGCCATGTGGGAGTCCAGAGCCCTTAACCACCATGCCTGGTCCTCTGCCAGGTATTTTAAATGCTTTACAGATGTAATACCTTATTTAATCCATTTTTTCCAATTTAATTTTATCCTATACCATTATCATGCCCATTTCATGGGAGGAAACAACTTGAAAGTTGAGAAGACTTGCAAAAGTCACTCAGACTGCAAACAGTGGAGATAGGATTTGAACCCAGAGCCTGCACATTAAAGCACTGCTATCTGCTTTTCTCTCTCTCTCCCTCTCTCTCTCTCTCTCTTTTTTTTTGGGGGGGAGAGGTTTTTACTATAGGGCATGTGCGTTCGCCAGAAAGACAGAGAGAGACAGAGAGACAGAAGGCGAGAAATCACCCCCCAAGGGAGATGGCCACGCCACAGCCCCTTCTCCTCTATTCTCCTCTCAGGATCTTGGGCACGCATGCACATGCACCCGGCTTGAGTTTAAGCCACCAGGTCTGGGATGTGAACCGCGGTTGACTACATGGGAGTCCAGCAACACAGCCATTACGCTAACTGCTGATCCCTTCTCTCTCTCTTTTAAAAATTTCCAAGAGGGTATGTGTGCTCACGAGAGAGAAAGAGAGAGAGAGAGGGAAAGCACCCCCCACTCCTCAATCCCTTCTCCATTTCTCCTTTCAGGATTTTGGGCACGCATGCACACACATGTGGCATGTTTCTCAAGCTGCTGGGTCTAAGACTTGAACATTGCAGTGGGATATAGGATTCAGGTTGTTTTGTTTTGCTTTGTTTTGGTTTTTTTGAGAGGTTTTTTGCTATAGGGCACGTGCGCTCACCAGACAGAGAGAGACAGAGAGACAGAAAGCGAGAAATCACTGCCCAGGGGGGATGGCCACGCCTCAGTCTCTTCTCCTCCATTCTCCTCTCAGGATCTTGGGCACGCATGCACACGCGCCCGGCGGAGTTTTAAGCCACCGGGTCCAGGACGCAAACCGCGGTTGACTACGTGGGAGTCCAGCAACATAGCCATTATGCTAACTGCTGGTCCCTAGGATTCAGGTTTTTAACCACCATGGCACCTGCTGGCCTGACATTTCTCTTATTTATTTATTTATTTTTAGAAGTTTTGCCTTAGGGTGTTTGTACTTGCCAAAGCGAGAGAGAAAGAAGCAGTGAGAGAGAAGATGAAAAATCAACTCCCAGAAGGAGTAGTCACACAATTCCTTCTCCATTCTCCTCCCGAGATCTTGGGCATGTACACACACATGCCTGGCGTGAGTTTCAAGTCACCAGTTTCGTGACTTGAACTGCGGTCGGCCATGTGGGAGTCCAGCATTGTAGCTGCTACGCCATCTTCTTGTCCCTCTTTCTCTTATTTTAACGGCAATAATAACCTTGCACTTTTCTAGGGGTCTCCCTTACCTTCCCATCTCACATCCACATGGCCAGAGTTCCTAGCAAAGACAGTGATTCCCTCTCCTCCCGCATTCTCTCGTGTTCCCACATGGCCCAGGATCAGGGCAGCTCTGATCTCCACTGCAGCAGCTTTCACTCTCCCTGCCCTGGGCAGAAGGAGCCTCAGTGGACAGCCCTCACCCACCCACTCTCATCTTCACCCCTGAAAGACCATTGTGAGAAAAAGCTGGACTGTGAGCCACGTGGCATAGGACAGCCACGACTGAATCACACACACCCTCAAAGATTCCAAACAAAATATCAAACAAACTGCCACATGCAAAAGGTTACCTTGGGCAGGTTGTTCAAGTTCTCTCGGCCTAGGCCTCCCTGTCTTTTTTAAGTTGCTATCAGGCATGTGTGCTCACCTGAGAGAGACAGAGAGAGGGAAAGTGAAAAGTGAAAAAGCAACCCCTGGGAAGGGGATGTCCACGCTGCAATCACTTCTCCTTCCGTCTCTTCTCAAGATTTTGGGCACACATGCACAAAAGCCCGCTGTGCTTCTGAAACCACCAGATCTGGGACTTGAACCACATCCAACTATGTGGGCTCCAGCACCTTAACCTCCCCTACACTTGCTAGCGCTTGGCTTTTCTATCTTTAAGGTGGGGATAACACTTTTTTTTTTTGGAGAGATTTTTGCTATAGGGTACATGTGCTCACCAGGAAGACAGACAGAAACAGAGACAGAAAGGGAGAAATCAGAAATCACCCCCCAGGGGGGATGACCACGCCACAGTCCCCTCTCATCCATTCTCGGGATCTTGGGCATGCACACACACGTGCCCGGCGTGAGTTTAAGCCACCAAGTCCAGGATTCAAACTGCAGTCGACTACATGGGAGTCCAACAACATAGCCATTATGCCAACTGCTGGTCCCAACATGGGGATAATACTTAAACCTGTTCTAGGCTTATTCAAACGATTCAGAGAGAGGGCCAGCTCTGAAGCCCAGTGGCTAAGGGCTATCTCATACGGCCAACTCTGGTCCGAATCCCAGCACATACCAGGTTGTGTATGTGTGCCCGGAATCCTGATGGGATGAGAAATGAAGGAAGGAGGATTGCGATATAACCACAGTAATATAATGGGTCCCCCCCCACACCCATTTCTGGTGAGAACATGTGCCCTCTGACAATAAAACAAAGAGATTCTGTGAGAGAGAGAGTGTCATGCCGCCGCTTCTCAAAAACCTGCCTCTTTAATGACTGCTCAGACTTGAGGACCAGTTCTCCAGCGCAGGGAATCCCCTTTCTCAGTCTTTGTCTTGTTCCTGCAGTCGCTTCGTCTTCAGTATAGGAAGCGGTTGCCATCACGAAAGACTACGTATTTTGTTTACAACTTGTACTTTATTGTCCAATCAATAATTATGCCAGATTTGTATTAGTGTGTTGTGGTGTGTCTTGTGGCTTTCTGGTGCTTGCCTAATGTATGCTTTCTGTATGGACAGAATTATGTGATTCCAGGGAGATGTCACATTATCTATGGAAAAATGCATGCCCTGTAGTGCCAGGACACAGCACAAGACATCTGCCTTTAATGTCCTCACTTACTGACCTACTAGGAAGGCACCTGGGTCGTTAAGTGAGAGTGCCTGCACCTGTAGCTGTTATTCAGGAGCTAATACGTAAAGTGCTTTAATAAGGTGCCTGGCTTGAGCAGCAGTTAGCATAATGGCTATGTCGCTGGACTCCCATGTAGTCGACCGTGGTTCGCGTCCCGGACCTGGTGGCTTAAAACTCACGCCGGGCGCGTGTGCGTGCGTGCCCAAGATCCCGAGAGGAGAATGGAGGAGAAGGGATTGCGGCGTGACCATCCCCCCTGGGGGGTGATTTCTCGCCTTCTGTCTCTCTGTCTCTCTCTGTCTGTCTGGCGAGCGCACATGCCCTATAGCAAAAACCTCTCAAAAAAAAAAAAGGTGCCTGGCCCATCATGAGCACTCAGTAAATGTCCATGTTATGATGGGATTATTTTATTGGTATTATTTTAAATAATTATTTTATTTAATTTTATTTAACTTTATTTTTTTCATTTTAATTTGACCAGAGAGGAACAGAAAGAGAGAGAGAGGGAAAGTGAGAAATCACTCCTCAGGGTGGTTGGCCAGTAAGCCTTCAGGTCCAGGACTCGAACCGTGGTCAACCATGTGGGACTCCAGCACCTTAGCAGCCATGCCACCTACCGGCCCCATGTCATGTTTTTTTGTCAGCCTGGTCTCTGGCTGTGCGCCACACCCAGATTCTGATGGCTGGGGTGTTGATGGCACTATGGTTTCCTTATTTCCCCCAGGGCACTGAGGTCTTTCCCCTTCTTGGCTCTGTCCTAAATGATCCTGAGGTCTTCGAGCAGCCAGAGGAGTTCAACCCAGGCCGCTTCCTGGATGCAGATGGAAAGTTCAAAAAGCATGAGGCGTTCCTGCCCTTCTCCCTAGGTATAAGCAGGGTCCTGGTTGGTTTGGGGCATCTGTGCCAACTAGGGGCATTCTCCTCGCTCCTTGGGCTCGGGGTTGGCTTCCCTCCCCACAGCTCTGAGGAGGGATGGTTCAACCTCATCTCCCTCTTCTTCCCAGGTAAGCGCGTCTGCCTTGGGGAGGGCCTAGCGCGAGCCGAGCTCTTCCTTCTCTTCACCGCCATCGTGCAGGCTTTCTCCCTGGAGAGCCCGTGCCCGCTGAGTGCCCTGAGCCTCCAGCCAGCCACCAGTGGCCTTTTCAACATCCCGCCAGCCTTCCAGCTGCAGGTCCGGGCCCTCTGACCTCCACCCCACTGTATGGACTCAATGAAGGGGAAAGCCTTGAGCTGATAGCTGCCCAGAACAGTGGCATAGACAGGGTCACGTCTCAAGAGCTACACGTCCACACTGCAGGCAGCCAGCTACCTTCACGCAGGCAGTGTTTTCTAGAGTGCATCACAGATGCACAGCCCATGTGCTCACTTGACCCACACAGCTGTGGAAACACAGCCACACACCCTATACAGCCAAGAGGGCCACATGGCAGCTGTTGTGCAAATCTGCAGACCTGAATGTCATCTGCCTGGAATCACAAAGCACATGCCCAGATAACCCACCAACCCATACACCCTGTAACGCCACGGGACTCAGCCCACATCAGAGTCTGGCTGCCACCTTCCCAGCTCACACTCCCTCTCCATGAGGCACTCCTGTCAGTGCCGCTGCGTCGGTGCCTGGTGAGGACAGGAGCACACTGTCTCCTGGATGGCATCACAGTCTGGGGGGTTGTCCCTGTACACCACACCAACATGGACTTACTGGTGTGGCTGCAATGCTTGCCTGGCATCCAGCCACCACCAGCCACGCACTTCCTCTGACCTACACAGCCAGCCCCGGAGGTACAGTCCCCAGCCACTCCACACCTGGAGCCTTCAAAGTCGCCACTTCCTAGCACCCTGATCTGAAAAGTCTCCCAGATACAAACATGTCCCACCTGCAATTGTGCACACAGACTCTAAAGGGGACATGAAGGGGACCCTCAGACCAGAGGGACCGTCCACCCCCCACCCCCGCTGATACGACCGTATGAAAAGTGGCCCCTGCTCTCGTCTCCCCCGTCACACACACACACGTGCACACACTGACTACACTGACTAACAGCCCTACTTTAGGCCAGAGTCCTGGTTGCACTCAGCGGTAGGGACAGAAGCCCAAGCAGGGGCGTTTCCAAGCGTCAGTGTTGGGGAAGAGGTCAGATCTGACATCCTTTTGACTTGAAGATCCCTATTTTGCAATAAAAGTTTCTTTCTGACTCCTGGTCTGGCTCGCTGTAAAACCTGTGTGTGTGCCACCAAGGCTGTCATTGTGAGTAAGGGGTGGGGATGGGGGAGTCCGCCCCTCCCGGGAGGCCAGGCAAGAGCTGAAAAACATGGCCACCACCCACCCTGGCTGTTGACATCAGTACCAGATGTGGAGCTGCGGGGAGGGGAGGGCGGGGCTGGGGCGTCCCAGGCCTGACTTCCAGAGAGGGCCAGAGTGTCCAGCAGTGGGGTGGGGCAAGGACCGGGTAATCACAGCTGACTGCAGGCCTTGGGGGCCAGGAAGCTGACCAGAGCCAAACCCTGGGACTCTCCAAGTCTGAAAGCAGATCTAGCAGGCCCTGGAGCACAGACAGACCTGCGCCCCACACGGGGCTTCTACCACCCCTTTCCTCCTGCTTTCCCTTCCCAAAAAAACCAAAGGCATCTGTCTTTTAAGTGTGTTTACTTTTTTATTTTATTTATTTTTTTGCTAAGGGCATATGCGCTCACTAGAGAGAAAATGAGAAGCCACCTCCCAAGGGGGATGACCATTTCGCAATCGCTTTCCCAATCTCCTTTGGGAATTAAGTTGTTCTTTCATTTTTTTCATTTTATTTCATGAAAGAGAGACAGGCTCCTCTATAGGGTCTTCACTTTGCAGTTCACTCTCAGTCGCAGGCAGCCCGGATCACGGGCATAGGCTGTGAGTGTGTGTGTGTGTGCATGTGCGTGCAGGTGTGTGTGTACAGGGAGGCCTCAGGACCTTCCCATGTGAGTCGGACATTGCAGGGCATTACAGGCCTGCTGCTGCCCACTTTCTATTTAATTATCTAGTCAGGAATGTTTCAGGCATACACGAAAGTAGAGTGAAGGCACCAAACTCTTGCGTATTCCCACCCAGCCTCATTCAATAACCAACTTTCTGCCGCTTTTATTGTATCATCTTTTTTGAAGAATTATTTTATTTAACTTTTTTTTTTTTTTTAATGTTAATTTGACCAGAGAAGGACAGAGTGAGAGCGAGAAGAGAAAGTGAGAAAGCAAGCCGCCAGGTCCAGGACTCAAACTGTGGTTGGCCATGTGGGAGTCCAGTGCCCTTCACCACCACACCACCTGCCGGTCCCTGTATCACTTTTTCATTTTTGCCAGAGTGTGCTTGTGCTGACCAGAAAGACCAAGAAACTGAGTAAGCACCCCCATAGGAAATGGTCACAATGAAATCCCTGTTTCTCTCTAGAATTTTGGGCATGCTTGCACATGTGCCCAGCATGTTTCTTAAGCAGCTGAGTCCTGAACTCACACCACAAAGTCAGACACGTGGGATCCAGCCACCTTAACCACCATGCCACAGGCTAGCCCCATCCATCACTTTCTAAAAATTATTTTAAGACAAATACCAGAAAACAATTGAATATGCATGTCTTTTTTTTTTTTCTGGAAATTTTAAAAAAATTAATTAGTTAACTACTTTACATTCATTCCCTGAGCATCGTCACAACATACAAAATGTGATTTTCCCATCCAGAATATATTGCACAGTGGCTTAACCATCCCTGTTATCGTCAATCATTTTCCATTTCTAGTTTCATATGTATATATATATTTTTACCCCTATTTCCCACCCTCCTCCCACACTGTCTCAGGTGTCTACAGTTCTTTTCAATTCCTTCCCTCCTCCCCCCCACATTTTATTGATTCACAAAATTTTTTAAATAATCTAACTACTTTCACTAGCAAGTTGGGACCAGCAGTTAGCGTAATGGCTATGTCGCTGGACTCCCACGTGGTCGACCGCGGTTCGAGTCCCGGACCCGGCAGCTTAAACTCACGCCGGGCGCGTGTGCGTGCGTGCCCAAGATCCCAAGAGGAGAAGAAAGGAGATTGCTGCGTGACCATCCCCCCTGGGGGGTGATTTCTCACTTTCTGTCTCTCTGTCTCTCTCTGTCTTTCTGACGAGCGCACACGCCCTATAGCAAAAACCTCTCCAAAAAAAGAAAAAAAAATAGCAAGTTCAGCTGGTATATACATATCTGTGAATACATGTCTGCCTTTAGGCGTGAAACTTTGATCAATGAATATACTATAAGGTAGCACATAGCTGATGCTATATAGCTTACTATGGCCATTAAATAGGTATTTTTTAATATATTTTTTAATTTCAAGAAAAGCGGTTTTAGCTTTAATAAATCAAAGAACTGCTAAGGAACTTGGCTTAAAACTTAAAGCCAGGTGGGACCAGCAGTTGGCATAATGGCTATGTTGCTGGACTCCCACATCGACGACCACAGTTCAAGTCCTGGGCATGGTGGCTTAAACTCACGCTGGGCTCCTGAGTATGCATGCCCAAGATCCCGAGAAGACAATGGAGGAGAAGGAACTGCAGTGTGGCCATCTCCTGGGTGGTGATCTCTTGCTTTCTGTCTCTCTGTCTCTCTCTGTCTTTCTGGTGAGAGCACGTGCCCTGTAGCAAAAACCTCTCCAAAAAGCAAAAACAAAAAAACTTAAAGCCAGAAATCTGGTCAAATAGTATGTACATGAGCCTATCGACAGCTCAAGACAGGACAAAAGTCCTTAAAACCGGGAAAACAAAGCCTAGAAGAAAATCAGCAATGTTGTAATCAAAAGTCATAAAATGCTATTTCACCAGTCTCATCTACTTTATCTTCTGTTGTGGTCTGATCTTCTCCATTAAATTCTGGGATATAATATTCAACTCCAGACTAGTCCCCATGACTACATTAACTCTTTCTTTAACTTTCGAACTCTTATTTCTGTGTGTCTGTATTTAATTTTCCTGGTATAGCACTGCCTTGAGAACTTTTTGGAGATCTGGTCTGGTGCTGGTAAATTCTTTCAGGTTTTGTTTATCTGAGAATGCTCTTATCTTTTCTTCCCCTATGAAGGATAATCTTGCCGGGTACAGTATTCTTGGTTTAAATTGCTTTTCCCTTAACACTTTGTTTTTTTTTTAAGAATAATTTTTATTTAGTTTTATTTATTCATTTATTTTATTTTAATTTGACCTGAGAGAGATAAAGAGAGAGAGAGAAAGAAAGTGAGAAAGCAAGCTGCCAGGTCCAGGACTCAAACCATGGTCAGCCTTGTGGGAATGTCCAGTGCCTTCACCACCATACCACCTGCTGGTCCCCTCCCTTAACACTTTGAATATATTTTCCCATTCTTTTCTTGCTCACATTGTTTCCAATGAGAGTTCTGCTGTTAGCCTAATGGAATATCCTTTGTAGGTAACTTGCCGTTTCTCTCTTGCCAGTCTTAGTATCTTGTCCTTGTCTGTGATTTTGGTCAATCTGGCTATTATGTGTCTAGGAGAAGATCTTCTTGGGTTGATTCTATCTGGGATCCTTTGTATTTCTTGGGACTGGATCTATGAGTGCCTCTCTAGGTTTGGAAAGTTTTCTTGCAGGATTTCATGGAATAGATTATCAATGCCCTTATGAGTCTCTTCTCCTTCTGGGATACCAATTATCTAGATGTTTGAATGTTTGATGGTATCTATTATTTCTCGCATATTATTCTCATTTGGGGGGGGGCAATTTTCTCGGTCTTCAAGGTGGATTCTTCTAGGCCAGTGATTCTATCTTCTACATCTGAGATTTTATTTTCTGTATGATCTAGTCTGCTTTTAATACTCTCAAGGGAGATTTTGACTTTCTGTATTATAGCCTTCATCTCTAACAGGTCCATTCGATTCTTTTTTATAGTGTGTATTTCCTATTTTAGATCTTGCAGAAATTTCCTCACCTTCTGGAACTCATCGGCTCCTTTCTCCTGCCTTTTCTGCAGTTCATTGTCTCTCTTCTCTTCCATCTCTGTTAGCTTCTTCATTATGAATATTCTAACAGTTTTATCAGATATTTCTATGATTTCCATTGAACCGTCTATGGATGAAGAGGAGTTGTTCTTTTCCCTTGAAGGAGAGGTATTTTCTTGCTTTCCCATATTCCTTGTGATACTGTGGTGATTTCTAGTCATCTGATGGATTGTGTGTCTCTTCCTAATTCTTGAAGTTCAATTTGAGCATTCAGAGGTGTGCAGAAGGAGGTGATATCTCTCTTCGGTTCCATTTTCACTCTTTGTGCATCAGATTCAGTGGAAATAGAGGAAAATTCTGACCCTAATTGTATTCAGATGTTTGGATCCTGTTCACTTGGACCTGTCTAGACAGTGTGTAGAGGCTTGGGAGGTAAAACTAGAACTGTCCAACTGTAACAGGCATTTCCTCTGGAATGATCTGAATATGCATTTCTAAGAATTGAGGACCTCCCCCCAATATTTTATTATGAAAGTTTTCCACTGTACAGCAAAGTTGGGGGAATTATACAGACAAATCCCATGTGCTAGCTCTTAGACTCACCAGAATTTTTCTACACTGTTCTATTTTTTTGTAGGAATTGTTTTATTTAATTATTCATCAACATTATTTTTTTAATTTGATCAGATGGAGAGAGAGGGAAAGTGAGAAAGCAAGCTGCCAGGTCTGGAACTCGAACCACAATTGGCCATGTGAGAGACCAGAGCCCCAACCACCATGCCACCTGCTGGGCCTACACTGTTCTATTATTTCTACCCGCCTATCCATTAAGCTTGGTTCTTTTAGACACTTCCAAGTAAATCAAAGACATCAGTTCATCTACAAACTATAGCAGTGCGTATATTATTAGCTAAGGTTCTCTGTTTTGTTGTTTTTCTAAAAAATTATTTTATTTTATTTGTTATTATTATTTTTTAATTTGACTTGAGAGAGACAGCGAGAGAAAAAAGGAAAGTGAGAAAACAAGCTACCAGGTCCAGGACTCAAACTGTATAAGGCCAGTGCCTTAACCTCCATGCCACCTGCTGGCCCCAGATTTTCTGTTTATTTTTTTTTTTTTTAATTTTCCATGATGTTATCATTTTGCAAACTTAAGTTCTATAGAGGTGGCATGAAATAGTGATATAGTAGAGAACTGAAAGAGATTGGAGAGCCACCTCTGTGACCTAATGGTTAAGG